AGTGAAGGCATCACCGCAGTAAGTGAACGCACCACAGACTGTCTTTTGCTGGTTCAAGCTGTCATGTTCAGAACAAAACAACAAGCTCTGCTGATCACTTCTTCCAGATTCAGTTCACTAAATAGCATTAACATATACCAAGACGTTATTGATCCAATCCACAAGTTCTGCATGCATCAATCAGGGGGGTTTCGATAAAGATATAGTATGAGTACTGTGGCGCTGATCTTGTTTATAAGATATTTCAATTATCTCGAGAACATGGCGCCCGTATACAAGATGGCGCCGCGGACGTAAACAACAATGTGACGTCAGAGCTCCGTAAAAACAAAGCTGTCTCTGCCGTCTGACGCTCTGTTTTACCGGTCATATTTCTGGAGTAATTATAACGTTTTTGACGAACAGAAATATGGTTTGGCATTATGGGAAAATCGGCATTTTGGTATGAAAGCGCACGCCGAAATAATAGGGCGCAGCACTACCTATACCCGGTTTGGAGAAAATTCTGATCAATAATTAGAATTGATTTAATTATAACACATTCTGAATGGAGCAATGTATTCATACAATATGATATAGGTACTTTTAATGAAGTAAGTGGAGCTACTTTAAAAGTTTCATATCTAACGACTGAAAATGCTAATTCAGTCTTGTCAGTTTACTTTGAAATGTGTGTGTGTGTGTGTGTGTGTGTGTGTGTGTGTGTGTGTGTGTGTGTGTGTGTGTGTGTGTGTGTGTGTGTGTGTGTGTGTGTGTGTGTGTGTGTGTGTGTGTGTGTGTGTGTGTGTGTGTGTGTGTGTGTGTGTGTGTGTGTGTCAATGTGTCAGACACATTTAAAGATGTATTATGCATTTAACTAACCGCCATGAGAAGGAATCCAGAAAACAATAAGCAGCCACAAAGCCACAAATACTATTACTGAAACAAATGTCATCACCGTGAGGAAATAACGTCTTCATCAGGACGTCATTTTCCAAACATTATGCTGAGAGAAGATCATTTCCATCCACATGACGTCCCTTTAAAAAGCTTTATTCTGCATAATATTTGTTGGTGGGTTTTTAAACTGATGAGTTTGGACTATTAAGAGGGAAATGTGCATCTCAGTGTTTATCAGTTTGAGTTGTTTTTATAGTTTCCTGGAACATCCATAGAGGCCTCCTTAGTAACAGGATTGTCTGTCCGGTTTGCTTGCAGAGGAATTGGCATTTTTGAATACAATTACCATTCAGAGTGAGTTGTTGGCCACTTATTAGCTTTATCTTGCATAATATCCCCCCTTTACTTACTTAGAGGCTGAGTTGTTTAAATAAGAAGCCAGCAGATTGTCAAAGTTTATTTGTTAATTCCCTGGAACAAAACACAGCGCCCGTCTTTGGTAATAATCCTTTTAAAGTTGTATTCTTTCACTGTATAAACACAGGAAGCTGCATTGTCATCCACAATTTCCAGTAAATTCCACCAAAGACAGCCTCTTGGGCAGGATATTTTTCCAATGTCTGGCTTTCCTTTGATTGCCTTCATGTCCAAATGAAGCAATATTTGGTTCCTGTGGCTGTGCAGTCGTCTCAGCCCCAGCCTCAAGCCGAGCCCGGTTCAAGTTTATACACAATGCACAACATTGTTCAGAAGACAAGGCGCTCTGAACAACTCTGGGAGCTTTTGAACATCAAGAAAACTAGTCACTCCAAGGTCGCATAAACACAAACTCTCAGGGAGGAATGATTCATGCTGAACAGGAGAAATAAATGACAGGTTTCTATTGGCTGGATCGTGAAAATATCAACTCTAGCTATGAAGTAAACAGTGAATCTATTTAAAGGGCCTGTGTCTTACAGTAAGTGCCTTTTTTCTAAGCGCCAGTGTATTTTTACTATTGTTTCCAATAAGGAGAGAGCTGTCACATGCAGCCACCTTGAAAATAAAAAGGTGCAACCAGTCTTTTTGTAAGAGCACATCAGTCAAAGTCAACTTTATTGTCAATCTCAAAATATGTTTGTACACAGAAAGATCGAAATACTGTTTCCCACAGTCCCGAGCAGGGGCGGACTGGGACTAAAGATCAGCCCGGGCATCTCGACCGGCCCACTTCGGTACCACTAGTATATTGTCAACGCGGGGGGGGGGGGGTGTATTAGCCGGCCGGCCCACATTGTCCGACCGGCCCACTTCGGTACCGGCCCTTCGGGATTCGGCCCAAACTTCCTGGTGGCCAGTCCGCCACTGGTCCCGAGGTATAAAAAACTAACACATTAATATGCAAGAAGACTCAATAATTTACAAAAAACACAAGATAACCGTTTAAGTAAGCAAGGATATATATAAAATATATATATATGTATATCTTAACTGTTACGAATATACGATACGATAATTACCATATACTTTATTGTCCCCATAAACACATTTGTTGTGGAGTCCGTCCTGCTGTTCCACACATACTACAAAGAAAACAATAAATACATTGACATATTAACACATGACTTACATATACACCTACTGACAATGGCGAAAAAGAAAGAAAGGCCTGTTTTTAAATGTGTCTTTCAGATGGAAACTATGAGAACAAAGACTAACAAAAAAGCTCATTTGATTGAGCAGATTGGACCGTGGGTGTTTTCTGTCGTTGAGGCCATACTATTATCCTCGTATGCCGATTGTCCTTCTTGTTATACGGCTGTCAGAGAAAGAGGTGAAGCTCCTTCATACAAAGTGTGAGAGCTAGGATCTTCTGGTTGGTGTTCATGGTGAAAAATCCATGTTTGACAAATGTATTAAATCAAATTGAAAGATAAAAGCAAAGGGGGGAAGCTAGTCTGTCCTCTAAAGGCAGTGATACCTTTTCAACATATCGCTAGGAACCTTTTCTTTATGAAACGCTGGGAGGATGCTCTGCTCAGTGCCTGGTGGACACAGAGACTCTTCCTGTAGCTGACTTCAGGTCAGTTATCCTGCAGCAGAGATACAGGTAGACGGGCTATTTTAGGGGGAAGTATGGAGAAACATCGGTGTCTCTCAGCAGGTGTGATTATCCCGCTGAGAGCTGATTGTCTGCAGCCAGAGGAGACACGCTGAGAGGGAAACGCTTCCTCCCTCCTGCTCATCACCAACACTTAGACTCTATTGTTTACTGAGACTGAGACACACACACACACACACACACACACACACACACACACACACACACACACACACACACACACACACACACACACACACACTCACACTCAAGTGCCTCTCTAAATAGTTTCAACTGTGATGAGGTGTTGGCAGGGTGGAACAATCTCGGTGTTTAACCTGCCACTAGGGGTTGGGTCAAGTATTGTGTGTGTGTGTGTGTGTGTGTGTGTGTGTGTGTGCGCGTGCGTGCAGGCGTGCGTGCGTGCGTGCGTGCGTGTGTGTGAGAGAGAGATGCATGAGTAGCTGATCTTAAGGTAGCTTGTCGTTAGAGCCATTTTATTTCACTAAAGTTAATTTTCAGCTGGTTCCAGATCGACAGGCCGTGTGTGTGTCTTGGTTTTGTTAAGTTTCTGTAGTTTCTTAAAGTCACCAATTAAAGGAAACACCTCCACAAACATCTTTGGAGCCAGAGATACTTATGTTAAGTGGTGTAAAGAGTTAGCTGTGTTATTTGGTGAGTGTTGTTTCAGGTAAATATCGATAAAATCTGATGTTTAAATCCTGTCAGATGGCAACCATAGCCAAACACAACATGGTTTATAATACTCACAAACAGGAAATCTGCAGCTGAAAATAGTCCCCACTAAATGCACTTTTACGTTAGACTTTGTTGTGCGACCAATGAACTTCAATATATATCTGAAGCTTTTATAAACCATAGATATATAACTGAACTTCTCCTGCAGGAAAGAGTCCTAAAACCATTTCCCTCCTCTCGGGTCAAAGGGTTTGCCTGAAATGCAGCGTGGTTAACACAAGCTTAAGAGATTTTGACACTTATAATAAAATATGTCAGTAAATACCACACTGGCCATTGCATTTCTGCATTTTCAAAATTAATTAAAAATGGGGTGTTGTGAAGATTATCTAGCCGGACAAAACACTTCTAAATGTTTGCCAGAGAGCAATGGAAAAATCCTATCCTTTTTTTGTTAAATTGATGAAAAAAGTTAACTTTATCGAATCATTCTCAGGACAAGGTTGTTGTTTTTAACGTCTGCAGGGTAAACTTGGACTTATACTAGTTAAATAAGAGATAAAATATAACATAAATATACTATAAGTAAAGTAAGAAAGAAAGAAAGAAATATAAATTAGGCAGTAGATGCAAATGAATCAACTCAATGTCAACAGTAATGTAGTTTCAGAGGTGAAATATACTTATATTAATAAAAATGTAACATTTAAAGTGGCCCTATTTTGTTAATTTTCAGGTTTCATATCAGTATGTAGTGTCTCTACTTTAAAGAGTCCTCTCCTGCTGATGTTCAGGTGTATATCAGTATGTAGTGTCTCTACTTTAAAGAGTCCTCTCCTGCTGATGTTCAGGTGTATATCAGTATGTAGTGTCTCTACTTTAAAGAGTCCTCTTCTGCTGATGTTCAGGTGTATATCAGTATGTAGTGTCTCTACTTTAAAGAGTCCTCTCCTGCTGATGTTCAGGTGTATATCAGTATGTAGTGTCTCTACTTTAAAGAGTCCTCTCCTGCTGATGTTCAGGGTGTATATCAGTATGTAGTGTCTCTACTTTAAAGAGTCCTCTCCTGCTGATGTTCAGGTGTATATCAGTATGTAGTGTCTCTACTTTAAAGAGTCCTCTCCTGCTGATGTTCAGGTGTATATATCAGTCTCTACTTTAAAGTGTTTGGGAGAGAAACTCCCTCTGGAGGGAACACAGGGATTTTAGCCTTTGCTACTATTTACATGCACTAAAACCTAAATAACTATATATATATTTACTCTAGGCTTGGCCCAGCTACAATAAGCGTCTTTTGTGTGATGGATCCATAAAAACAGTGATAAATAAAGACAAGACGATATTTGAATTCACAAATTTTAATTCACTTCAACGCTGGATGAACTCAGATTTCATTGGAACTGCATTAGAGTCTAACCCTGATTCCTGTCATACAGAAAAGCACATCATCATCATCATCATCATCGCAGTGATTAAAGTCGACGTAATCATTAAAAGGCAGGTCATCTGTTCGAGTGTAGCAGCCAAACAACATGGACACTATCCATCCTCAGAGATTATTTTTTTTGAACATACTGTATACTTGTACACAACAGACACCAAGCAAAGGAAAAACAAATCATTTTAAATACTCTTGTGATTGACTTCGCCTGGCACAATGAACTGGTTTCACTGAGTTGTCCAAAAAAAAGGATAAAACAGAACAGCACTCCTCTGATACTCCAAACTGGCTCAAACACTTACAAATAAAAAGTATATCAATAACAATTTATCCCGTGTCGGGTATGTACAGACATCAAAAGTGAGTCAAACCTGCCACTTTTTTTTTTTAAATGGCTCAAAAAAGTAGATTGTCATCAACAGTTTTCACTTTGTTATTTAACTATTTGCGATTTTTTGGGAAACAGAACTCTAAAAAAGGCGTACATTAATACAACATGACGGGACTTTTATTTTCCACCCACTAATACTCAGTAACTGGTTCTTTTTATTTCCTTTTCCTCTCCTTCTTCTTCTTCATTTAGAGCGCTCTTAATGTCTCTTGTGTCCCAAAACCAACGCCCAGTTCTTAAAAAAAACGATATTTAAAAACCATGGAAATAAAAAAAACTTTAAAATAGCACGCAATGACAGCAATCCTAACCATAATAACAACAATAATAACAATAATGATAATAATAATCATGGATAAAGATAGCAATAAATAGGGTTGGTGAAGTTTAAGTGCGGGGAGGTGTGGTGAAACACGAGACTGTGGGCACCAATTAGAGGGAGGGAGAAGGGGGGAGAGGGTGAGATGGAGAGAGGAGAGGACTACCGCACATAAAGTGACTGATTGTTTGGTTTGCTGAATCCTCCGCTCTGTCCTTGGCATTTTTCTCGCCCGCACATTTGCAGGGCGTGGGTTTGCACACGAGTGTCCCTGAACGCCACATCCTCTGTCCACTGTCATTTTGAAAAAACCTCTCACTTGCTTTTAGTCTAAACTCATTGAGTCCTATTGTGAACATGGAAATGTTGAGTACCCTAAAGTGTTATGATAGAAATGTATAGCAAGGGTCCACAGCACATAGAAACAGCCGGATGCTAACTTTAATATGTTCGGCAATTTGAACAATTAGCATAAGTTGCGTTATTAACATTTATTGGCATTAGTGCGGACAATAGTTATTAAATGGCTTGGCCGAATTGGACAATTTTGGAGTGGTTTTGGGGGTTATTGAGGATGCTGAATACATTTCTGACATTTTCAGGATCAAAAAAGGCAGTTTTAACCAGAAAGAGGGCATATTTGTACTTTCTGTAGGCTGATTTTTGTGAATTTTGTGTCAATTTTAAAGTTTTAGTGGACTCTGGATCATTTGGATGGGACAGATTGCTTAATTATTTGAAAGAAAGTTGTCCATAGTAGAGAAAATAAATGTGCTCACTATGGTCGCAACACTACTCATGATAGTCCATATCAGCCCACATAGTGAACAAATATGTCCACTTCTTTGGTTAAAACTGCCATTTATGATCCTGAACATTTCAGAAATGGACTCAGGACCCTCAACAACCCCCAAAACCATTCCTAAATTGTCCGAATCGACCAGGCAGTTTTTGAAATATTGTTTACATACAGTACGCTATAATGCTACTTCATGTTAATTAACGCAACTTGTGCTAATTTCGCAAATTGCCCAACATATGTGAGTTTACTTGGGACCTGCACTATACATTTTTAACACAACACTTAGGGCTACTACTCATTTCTGGGTCCACAATGCTGGCAACTAGACTGTTTTGTGAGCAATAAGACGAGAAGGAGGCAAGAGTTCATCATCCAGTAAAGGTGTCGTTTTGAACAGTAAGTGCTTGAAAGGTCTGGTAGTGATTCTGGAGTGTGAAGGGTTTTCGTGGTGGTCATTTCCTTAATTTTTTACAATGAAATGTTCTGTCCACGTTCTCAGGCAGGCGACAGCATTAGCAACATCAGTGTGTGTCCTGAGGATTATTTGGATTGTATTGGCCCCTGGGATCCAGTCTATAAACGTCTCAGAGGGGCAAATTCAACCCGGCATGTTAGGAAATATGTGACTGTGCTCAGACTTCAGAGGAACAGGACATTTTTCTGGCAGATCTGATGAAATCCCGCCTCCTTGGAGTGTTTCTAGAAAGTTCGGTTGTGGAGATTTTAGTCTTGTATTTATGAGCAGCAACCTGTTAATAAGTGAGTGAATTATTCTGGGGGTTTTTTCAGAAGAAATTCCTTCCACAGTTTCACAACCTGCTGTCTTTTTGCTGAGGTAATTTCACACATCAGGTGTCTCTTACACAATTTCATCCTGATGTTTTTTTTGGCGTTCACCTCTTACGCAGTTTCTCCAACCCAGTCTCACAAAAAAACGTGAAATAGCGACGTTGGTGGTATATTCACAAATAACCCGCTCAAGACGTGACATGAATACAATATTTTTTCCTATTCATTTCTAATGACCGTGTCCAAGTCACGTGATCGTAAACTTTCCCAGCGTGGAAAAACATGGCGGCCATTGTAGGATAGTTTGGCCATTATAATGCTTTTTGATTACATTTCTAGCGAGAAGTGTAAATTGTACTGTTAGAATCTACGTCCAGTGGATGTGTAGGATCTATAGCTTGATAGATATTACAAAGATTATTTGAGGTCTCACCAGGAGAACGTTAATATACTACGTCTTTCCCCCTATTCATTTCTATTGACCAGCGTCCATGTCAAGTTATCGTCAACTCTGAAAACCGTGAAAACAGTATTTCCGGTCTTACTAAGGTGGTTGCTAGGGACGCATATCATTCCCCTCACTGTTGAATGATCTTACAGTGATATCTGCAGTACTCATCAACTAAAAAACATCAGTTTGTCCTTTGTTAATTACATTATTCATGTCACGTCTTGAGAGGGTTATTTGTGAATAGACTACGTTTTGCCCTGTGGACCAACGTAGCTATTTCACGTTTTTGTTGTGAGACTGGGTTGGTTTCTCTTACAGCCATCTTCCTCTCCTCTCTCTCCGTCCTCTCTTCTCTTTGAGTCTGTCTTTTACCTCTGATAGTCCCTTTCCTCTTTGGGACTGGACGAGGAACTTCCTGATCCTAAAAGTCCTCCAGATCGACCGTGATTCTGGTCCTTTCCCTCCTCCTGAGCCATGTTTATCGACTGGCTGGAGGAGTTTTGTGGCTGGTTTTGCCCCCCTGTGTTCCCATTATTCCCCTCTGAGGTCTGGTAGATTTCCTCCGCTCCGTCCTCGCTGGACTCCGGGTCCTCGGAGCCCGACAGCAGTTCTTCTTCTCTGTATTCGCTGACGTCCACCCCCCCGCTGGCCGCCGCGCCCTCGCTCAGCTCCTTCAGGCGGCCGTGGTGCTTCACGTGGTACCGCTGGTTCTGGAAGAACTTGATGATGGTGTGTTTGGGCAGGTCCAGCTGAGCGGACAGGGTGTGGATCGCCTCCTGGTCCGGGTACAGGCCCACGTCCTGGATGAAGCTCTGCAGGATGCCCAGGGCCTCCAGGGAAATCTGGAATACATGGATAGATAATGGGAATTAAAACCAGTTGCTATAACTAGCGATGCCCCAAACTTTATCGGACAATCTTCAGCAAAAATGTGGGATTTTCGGCACTGGTCACCAACAAAAAACCTACAAGACTGATTAGTTTTTAGCTCAAAATGTTACATTGTGAGCGATTTGCAGCACTCTCCTGCTTGGCTAAATGACGAAGCTAACAGCTAACATTAACAGAAACAGCATTGAGTTACATTATGATACTTTTAAGCTCAGTTCAGGTAAATGTAATATTGGAAAAAGGTACTATCATGACAGGTTCAAATGCAACGTTGTGTCTAGTTTTTCACAGGAAACTTTCATCTTTGCAGTTGTTATAGGAGATGTTTTGTTATGCAATATTAAATAGATATTGGAAAGTGAATATTAACCTGTTTTAGTGCCCAACACTAGCTCTAAGCCTTTTATAATCCATCAATAAAACTAATAATGTCAAGATTTGATACTTTGATGCATTCATTGATTTCTTATAGGGTGACATTTTTAATTCTTGGCATTTTCTTGCAGGAATGTGGTGAAAAAAGTAGGTTTGTAGCTTTGAATACCGGCGTCTTAAACAAAACAACAGAAAGGATTGGCCTATCGATCTGGGGATATTTAGCCAAAGTGCATAATAATGACTTTATGAATCCTGATAATAGTCGTGAACATCAGACTGTACCTTAGTGCGTGATCGGGGCTTCTTGTTGCCCCCTGCACTGCCTCCAGAGTTGGGTTGACCCCCTGCTGATATCTGAGCCCCTTCCTCAATCTGCGGGACAGATAACTGCTCCTCACGCATCGGAGACACACGGAGCTCCTTCATCTGGGCAGGAGGTGGCCTGTGGAGAGCCTGGCGAGAAAAACAGAACAGCTGATTGATTAACGGGGCACAGTGACCCCTGATCAAGACTCAGGCAAATCTAACATCATGCTGTCTGTGTAAACAAAAGAGTAATGGCAAACAGTTTGAGTCAAGTGATTGACATGGTATCATTGGGGTTAAAAAAATCCTCATGACACGATGGAAACCCCCACATACTCTATTTATTCATCTGTAGATATCATCATTTCATAATGTATTTGTCTCAACAGCACCTTTAAACAATTACAGGCTGTCAAAAGCGCTGCCAAACTTGAGATATCCTTAATTTAAAATGTGTGGATATATGGACACCTAGATATGTGGAAAGGTGGTTCATGCCAAACTTGTGTATAATTATGAAATATTATGTCAAATGTGAGTGATCGGGGTATGCAAACCAAAAATATGAAACAACCCTGATACTTAATGTACAAAATGCATTCCTTTGACTTTCACTTAACCAAATCTCTCTAATTTCAACATCTGGATGCATTTGTAAGACAACATATCACGCATACTATTATGATACGATAATACTTTAATGGTCAGATCAAGTCTGAAATGCTCCTTGCATCACAGCAGCTCCATGTGTAACATCAACAGACACAACACATGAAAAACAAACAACAAACATTGAACATAACAGCACGATCACTGAGAGAAAACCTGCTCAGAGCCTTCAGCGTGCATTTGATCTGGATTCAGCTCTGTGTTTACTGAGATGATTGACTGGAGCACAAAGGATGCTTCAGTCTGACTTTATTGAAACGCGGGATTATATATTACTTATTATTTCCTGAGTATAATGAGTAGCTGATAGTGACCTTGCATGATGCAACGCTTCTTATAAAACACAGTAACCTGCAGCACACAGTAGCCTCCTCAGGGTGAGAAGTGTGTATTAACCCGCTCCAAACGGCCCTCTGTCCAATATACCTTTGACCTAATGGTGTAAGATTAGCTCCAGTAAAACGCCAACCACCTGTCAGCCGGGAAGTGTCTTATTTACAAACTTGTGACACCCCATCACTATTTAACCAGGACACTGAAGGTGGGGTGTGGACGGGAAGAGGGAGGACACTTTAAACATAAATTGTTGGATTACAACGATTGCTTTGCTTCTAATTTGATAGAAGACGACAAGGAAACATGCAGAAAAAGTTGCCCTAAGCTTTGTTTAAAGCACTTTGAATTGCCGTGTTGCTGAAATATGCTGTATGAATTAACATGCATACCTTGCCAGATTATTAAACTATTCGTATATTAAGTTAAGACAAAGTAGGCGGCATGATTATGTGTATATGCAAAGAAAGAAAAAGGCAATTTGTAGTGTGTTTCATAGAGAAAAAATATCCTTAAACGAGTCCCTCAGCCCTTTAAAGATTATTATTATTTTTTGATTATTATATAATTTGTAGGTTTATTTTAAACCCAAGTTAGGAAAGTAGAGTTTATTTTTTACTGGTTGGTCATTCATACAACTGGTGCATGAATTACTGGAAGAGGATGGACTTTAAATGGCTGCTGGTAAAACAATTGATCCACTTGAACATTAACGTGGGGAAAGATTAACTTTGAAGGATTGCTTGTATTTTATCGTCTCAGATTTTCAGTAAGTTATGTTAATGTGAAGCATGTTTGCAGCAACATTTATATATATTTGTTCTTATTTTACAAGGGCTAGGAAGGTGTAAAGAGCAGTGGCGAGCCGTGACTTTTATACCCTCTGACCCCCACCCCTTCCCTCGAAAATAAATAAAATAATGAGTTATTACGTCACAGCGTATACTTCAGCGGAATATCAAAACAACGGCCCAGGGTGCAAAACGCATCAATGTGTGTGTGTGCATCAACCCTCTACCACACAAAACAACACCTGGGAACCCCATTTGTGTTCTTTGAAATTGAAAATGATATTGCATTGTGTTTGTTACTTTCGTTGCAGTTGTATGCCTTAAGTGTCATTTGGCATGCTTTTATTTTTGAAGGCGAGTTTACACTGTTGACAGGAATTTATTGTTGCTATGGAAACAAGAAAAGCTTCACAGCGGGCGGAACTTGTCATAAAGTCCGCCCGATAATAAAACCCACCCATTTAGAGGGAAGATATGATTGGTCAATTGTACTGTCATTTGACATTACTCTCTCCTTCAGTTACTATAGCGGGCCCTCTGTGAATTCACAGCAGGACCACCAATCAGCTCACAGTACCTCGCAGAGACGAGCTTCTTTCATTTAACCCTTCACATTCAAACAGAAACTGAATAGGCAGATTCGAAGGATTTATTTCTTTGGAAATGTTATTTTAAATACAATTAAATCAAGTTATATTGGTAAAACTAATGAAAAATATATCTAAAAAAATATATATTTTTAAAAATGTTTTTAAATATTATTTTGTAGAATATCTTAGGCCCTCAGAGAGATATAATATAAAGTGTACATTGTAAGGGATTCACTTTAAATGATTGTAACCGTATTATTATTGAGTTTAAACCTATGTAATGCAGGTTTTGACGGTGTTGCAGACGGAGCTCAATGTGTTTTCAGCAAGATTTATCACCAGGATTAAAAATAAAATCCCACAAGAAAGGCTAATAAGATGTAAAGAGAGTAAATAATAAAGGGTTCAAATATGTCGGTTTTTCTGGAAGCAATAGATACAACCGAACGATTACACTGAGAGGATGAACTTTAGATGATTGTATCAGGATAGTTATAGTTTCAAGGTTTATGTAATCCAGGTTTTGACAGAGCTCAATGTTTATCTGGCTTTAAGCAAGATTTATCAACATGTTTTTTAATCACATGAGAAAGGCTTGTAACTACCAAAGAAAGACATCTAAATGGTAACAATCAACGTAGGTGTCTGTTAATCTGATGGGTGGAGCTCTTGTTGTCCTAGTGGGGGTCCACAGAGGTGGGAAGTAGTGGAGTACAAATACTTCGTTACTTTACTGAAGTACATTTTTCTGGTATCAGTACTTTACTCCACTACTTATTTCTCTGACGACTTTTTACTTTTACTTCTTACATTTTGAACACAAATACCTGTACTTTCTACTTCTTACATTTTGAACACAAATACCTGTACTTTCTACTTCTTACATGTTGAACACAAATACCTGTACTTTGTACTTCTTACATGTTGAACACAAATACCTGTACTTTCTACTTCTTACATTTTGAACACAAATACCTGTACTTTCTACTTCTTACATGTTGAACACAAATACCTGTACTTTCTACTTCTTACATTTTGAACCCAAATACCTGTACTTTCTACTTCTCTCATTTCCCAAACAGGCTGGTTCCTTTAGTTTGAATGTGTGTTTGGTGGCGTGATCATTATTATTTAGAGTCATTGCGTGCCTATTGATTTGAACACGATCCGTGTATCCATCACTTCCTGGTCTTCTCTAAAGAAGAGGGACCAATGAAAACGTTGTCATGTTGCCGTTGTTCAGCATGGAAACATTCATTAGCTAACAATGACATTATTGTTCTATTAATATAAAGGGAGGTCAGGTACTCTTTAAAACAGCTGCTAGTTATGGGTACTTTTTACTGAAGTACATTTCAAAGCCCTCTTTACTTTTACTTAAGAAGTTTAGTCAGTACTTCTACTTTTCACCAGAGTATTTTTAAACACGAGTATGTGTACTTCTACTTGAGTAAAGGATGTGTGTACTTTTGCCATCTCTGGGGGTGCAGCGTGGTGCAGATGCAGCGTGGTGCAGATGCATTGGTGGGGGGGTGCAGATGCATTGTGGGGGGTTCTCTGGTTGTTTGTCAGGCTGTTTTTCAGCGTTGTGGTCGTGTCCCGCCTCTCCCTCTAACAGCAGGGAGGGGCCTCCCCACTGGAATGCCCAGCTATAAATCTGCGGCGCATTAAAATTAAAGGACCCACATAAAGATAATAGTCATTCGCTTTTCTCTCCCTTCTATTCAATAATAACAGGGTATTACTTAAATAATATTGAGGGCAGGCCAGACCATGAAATTGCACCGATTTGGTTCGCAGGGGCTTTATTTCCAGCGGGTGGAATGACCAATTTACAGGAAAACAGTACGTTTTTCCTTTTTTTTTTGGGTCATTTTTCTCTCTACCTCCTTCCCCCCCAATCTTCTGAGATATGTACCCCTGCCCTAATGAGGACCACACAGCCACAAACATCCCCCGAACAAACTCCCTGAGACACTTAATAACTAAATTGAGGGTAAACCGTGGAGGGGATTGTGAAACAAACCCCACCTCCACCCACAGAGCTTCATAATTTCTCTGCTTATTTGGGCTAACAGCAAAAGGTCTCTTGGACCAATCGCCACACACACACACACACACACACACACACACACACACACACACACACACACACACACACACACACACACACACACACACACACACACACACACACACACACACACACACACACACACACACACACACACACACACACACACACACACACACACACACACACACACACACACATATACTGAATGCAACAAAGGCGGTCTGGTCTCCCTCATGCTCTAATGATGATGTTACAGAGCAGAGCCAAACACAGAGCTGCTCCTCCAGAGATAATAACAAAATAAGGCTATTACATTTTATGCTCACTATTAATCTGGAAACCGTAAAAAATGTACGCAAATGAATGACATTTGACCCAAAGTTGCTCCCCCTAATTATAGGTACATGTAAATAATAGTATTTTAAACTTGTGACAAATCACATTAGTTATTCGTATGAATTTGTTTACAGAGCAAGAATTATTTCTTTGCCAAACCATCTCAAATATCGTTTAGCTTAATAACTAGCTTACATTCTCGTTAGCTACATCCTACACTTTCTAATTCATCATCCTCATTGAAAAGCAAGAGGCAGCTATTCGGCTTACTACACCCACCCCCTCCCCTGACTAACTGTATCCAAGGCACACGTCACTTCCTGCTATAATGCTGAAGCGCAGAGCATGCTCCGAGGTGAGGTTGACGATAGT